AGAACAATCTACCTTTATTCATTTCCTTGACTCATAAATATCTTGTTATTGTTGGTACCCGTGAAGATCCGGGTTAGAGTGAGTAAGTATGATTTTACGCCGCTTTAGCAATATTCCCGCAATATAACGGAGAGGGACACCAGAAATGGTCCGGGTTAGAATTGATCTTCAGCAACCCATGCTTGTCGGAGACGACTTACGGGATCGGGTGGTCAGGCTCACTGGCTTGGTTGACACATCGTATCACCATTGTGTAGATCGATGCTCATGTTGTTGATCCCGTAGCTCGATTATTGACAGACCGCCGCCTATATCAATGAAATATTGCTGAGTGCAACAACAAACAAACACATTTCATTGTTGGCTTCCTACAAACTGAAATGCCAAGCAAAGGGAATTATACTGCTATGCCTGATGGTGGCAAAAATGAAACAAACATGATATTTGTGATTATTATACCCTTGACTTGCTTCATAAACGGCTTTAGTATTGCACAAAGGGCTTGGCAGAATGGAACATAGTGTGGTTCAGGGACTTTGAGACAGACTAGATATACATATATATTTGCAGAAAGGGCTGGGCAGAATGGAGCATAGTGTTGTTCAGGGACTGTGAGACAGATTAGATATACGTATATATTTCATGTTTAACGGTACATGTGTATGCATATGACTGACTGACTGACTGAGTTTGGTTTTACGCAGCTTTTAGCAATATTCCAGCAACATCACGGCGGGGGACACCAGAAATGGGCTTCACACATTGTGCCCAGTATGCATATGAAGTGACACAGAACGTTAATATTAATAAGAACGATACACATAGTCTACAATTTACATCCTAAGAATAGATAATATAAATACAAAATAACTTGACACATAACCGTATGCTCCACCGTTGCCAAGGGAATCGGCAAAAGTTTATGTGTCACGCTAAGGCATTGAACTGGGAATGGCAAATGCTTTGAACTTGACCTTTTCAAGGAAGAAAGTTTGATTGGATGATTTCGACCAATCATAATCAAGGTAGAGTCGAAACATTGTGTTGTTCGCCCTGTTCATGAGCAACCCTTGTAACGTGATCGTGTGTCAAAAGTGAAATACTTCGTCATGGACCGGAAACACGCACTGAGAACGTTATCTGTCATTATAAAGCAGTTCAAAATGCCCTCATATGTTTATAAACATGGAGACTTATTTTCTCATATCCTTTGCCCCGGCTAGATGTTCAAGTTTCCCAGCACCGTACCCTGCTAGTATATTATACGGTGTTTATATTCAAATCATTCATTCTTTTATTTATATAAATTTTCGATTTTTGCGAATCGTACCGCTCTTTAACATGTTTGTTCAATGATGACTTCCGTTCATCACTGACTATATGAAATAATATTTGACAAGTACATCTATGTTCAACTCATATGTCTATTTTTATCCTTAGAATAACAGATAAGATAAGATGGATAATATATTTGTGTAGCAACTTCGTGATCACGATTAAGGATTGTTTGTAGAAGTGATTCTCTTTCTTCGCCATACTTTGTACAGGATATTACATGGTGTTTCTCCTCTTCTAAGACATTACACATTTCACAGAGACGTTGTTCTAGTGGGGTTGCAGGTTGCAGGTTTTGTATATCCACCAGTTTCAATTTTGAGTTTATGATTAATTAACCGTAGTTTTTAGAAATGTGATCTATGAACTTTGATTTTACAATGGAATAGATAATTCTCGAGTTTTGTAGATGACTTGACCATTCTGCATGTTCTTTATTGGTTATTTGATGTATGAAAATCACTTAATGAATGCTTGAACATGTCTTCACATTTGGACTTGAGTTTATTCATGGTAGATTAATTGCATTTATTTGTGTTCACTGTTTCAAAAGTTTACAAAACATAATGCCGTATAATACTCTAGTCCCTTGTACGAAATAATATTTTTGAACTGCCCGCCGGACATGAAACGCTGTTTTATCTGACTTTCTATGAGGTTTTAAATAGAGTGTGATGGTGTAGATTGCACTATAGAACAACCATATATATAATTGCTCATATTGTACTATTTTATTTCCACTGCATCCATGTAATGTGAAAAGGGACTAATCATATTTCATGCTAGTCAGGTTTAGCAATTTCCTTTCCCGCGGCTTTCGGGGAGACTGGCCTTAACAAATCACGACGTGTGGGGTCTACAAGAAACTAGTCGTGCAGATTGCGCATGTTTCATATCTGACTGACTGGAGGGTTTTGAGGTATCTCTGACCAGTCAGTTTCCAGTAATATTCGGCATCGTAGTTTTATCAGTCATATCTGATGCCAGTTAAACTATACATTAATAAACAAATATTCAACGTTAGATCTGTAATAATTCTGCCAACAGCACTTTCCCTAGCCTGACATTTAATGTCAGAAAAAAGTTATGTGTTTGAACTTGTATATCTAAAATAATAATGAAATCCAAAAGGAACCCAGAAACAATAGGAGATGAGCAACTTAGACTTGCCCAATCATTCCAGACTTAAGTTGGGATATTCTGGGAGACAGACTACACTCCCTTATTATTCTCAGATAGTTGTCGTCCTTTATTGAAGCAATATTCCATATTGTGTGTGTGTGTGTGTGTGTGTGTGTGTGTGTGTGTGCGCGCGCGTGTGCATGCATGTTGAACGAACTTCAGAAAGGGTGGTGCACAGTTCTTTTTCACCCGTTCTCACGACAGTTTCAATGGTCATTTAATAAACTTTAAGGACAAAAAAAGGTGTGTGTGTGTGTGTGTGTGTGAGTGCGTGAGTGCGTGCGTGCGTGCGTGAGTGCGTGCGCGCGCACCCTGCACCCCACCTCTGGATCTGCCTATGTATTACTGACTGATGGAGGAGCGATCTGAGCAGGATGAGTGTCTGACAGCACCATGATATTTTGTCCACACTCCCATCCTGTATGGTGAACCCGAGACCTTGGGCCTTGCTTCAGAGGACATGAAGAGCATTAGGTACATAATGTGGCAATGTGAGGATGACTGTTTCATCCATCTTCATCATGTATTGTATATACGCTTGTCACTGCCCACAGATTAGTCGGAAATACGTACTTGAAGCTATCTCGCATGATAAGGCTGGGTTTTACGCCGCTTTTAGCACTATTCCAGCAATATCAAGGGGGTGTTGGTAGTGATGTGTGTGCGTGCGTGCGTGCGTGCGTGTGTGTGTGTGTGTGTATGTGTGTTTGGGTGGTGGGGTTGGGGCACAAGAAATGGGCTTCACGCATTGTACGCATGTTAGGATTTCAACCCGGATCTTCAGAGTGATGTAACCGCTAGGCTACTATCAAAGTAGTGTTAAACTCAACTCACTAAGTCATAAACGGAGGAAATAGGTCAGGTTAGTGATTCTGGTTCAGTGATCACAGATGGTAACAGGTCATTGAGGCAGATAACTGGAGGATAAAGAGGCCCATTAAAATCTACAGTTGTTAATCAGCATTAAATATGTTTCTCGGGCACCTTTATCTCCAAACATGAGGAGGCTGGTGTGAAAGGGGTGGGCAGACACTGAATACGGCTCTCCAATATAAAGTCAATGGTCAGGCATGGATAACGTTGTCACCATGATACGACGTGTGAAATTTGAAACAATTTTCTTTGTGTCAATTAAAATTGAAAGAGCACATGATATAAACTAACGCATTGGTGAATCAGATCGGGAGTGTCTATCGGAAAAATGAAGTGTCTACTGAGGAAACAGTGTCTGGTGTGAAGTGATTGCTGAACGCACTTCGTCCTCTGGGTGTAGCGTTTATGAACATTACGTCGGTCTCACTGACACGGAATAAGTGTCCATCACGACTTGCCCCACAATCCCTGAACCACATTATTTTCCCTCCTGGTAGCCCTGCTCCCTGCAATGCTAAAGTTGTAAATGAAGCAAGTCTAGATTTCCTCAGGTTCTGAATCTCACTTCGGCTCCTTTTCAGTCTCAATGGGTGTATGTGTTAATATCAAAACTGTATATATTCAGAGACTTAAAAGAAGCGCTAGTCTAATCGCGAGTGTTCTAACATCATAAGGACGGTGACAGGTTTCACTGGAGTCATATGTATTCTTGGGAAGGCAGAGCAGAATTGGTTTCATCCGGTTTCAAGAGAGTTTCAATCAAACTTCCAGGACAAAAAGGTGTGGGGTGGGGGACGCACACACCCACCCCCCAACCCCCTCTGTATCTGCTTATGGATTAATATTTAGGTCCATGCGTATAGTTTCAGGGTCCCGATCCACAAAGCGTAACGTTGCTACCTGTCATAGCTCTATAGTTTATCACATAGGATTACGAGTGCCGTACGGACGTTTTGATGTATGTATGTATGTATGTATGTATGTATGTATGTATGTATGTATGTATGTATGTATGTATGTATGTATGTATGTATGTATGTATGTATGTATGTATGTATGTATGTATGTATGTATGTATGTACGTATGTATGTACGTACGTACGTACGTACGTACGTACGTACGTATGTATGTATGTATGTATGTATGTATAAAACTTATGATCAGTATGTATAAATGTTCCATGATCAGTATGTATGTATGTATGTATGTATGTATGTATGTATGTATGTATGTATGTATGTATGTATGTATGTATGTATGTATGTATGTATGTATGTATGTATGTATGTATGTATGTATGTATGTATGTATGTATGTATGTATGTATGTATGTATGTATGTATGTATGTATGTATGTATGTATGTATGTATGTATGTATGTATGTATGTATGTATGTATGTATGTATGTATGTATGTATGTATGTATGTATGTATGTATGTATGTATGTATGTTGAACGAACTACATAATAGCTAACAGTTACAAGATTACAGGATCAACAACACGCTGTAACTATAATAGACCCCGTTACGAGTAACACAAGAACCAGGCTTCCCCATTGTTCAGTAGGGAGCGGCCAGAAAATGACTCCCCTTTCCATGAACCGAGTCAACACACGTGGATGTGACCTATATTTCACATCGTCAACAGCCTCCTCTGAGGATACTGAGTACACATGAGAGGCTACATGCGAGAGATGTTCTGCGAGGCCAGTATTTGTCCGCCGGTCACGACCAAGTGAGTTTTTAATAACTAGCTTTTTTCTTGCGACGAGCACGTCTCATTACTTAACTTAAACAAATGTTTGTTTGTCAATGTGATGTCGTGACGTCGTGTGCTTATAGCAATGCTGCAACTCGTATATCGGAAGCTGGGACCCTCTGGTGTGTTGTAGTGTAGGTTGTGTAAGAAAGTCATCGACACCCTACTGGTATTTAAGTTTAGGTTTGAAACGCAATCTGTTTCTACGTCAAATATGGCGTTTTCAAGTATTTGTTTTACTGATATTAAACGCCGGGGTAGTTATGCTCCGTTGGAAATACTGTTGATAGGGTCTTGAAGTATTGAAGTATGTGATGTTGTGATGTTAGGTACCTCTATATATCAACACTGTTATCCTTTGCAGTGGACAATGTGTGCCGAGATCTTCTTATTCTATCAAATTTGTGGTCTTAAATGCCCTGTCTGACAAAAACACAAACTGTATTTATCATGCTTCTTCTAGCCAGGATCATGACAAAGGCGTTAGTGTTCCGCTGTTGTTATAGTGAACGTACGTTGTAGATATGACGCAGTAGAATCAGGATTTGGACACAAATGCTCTACAACAGATGCTTTTACAACATTGTAATGGGAATCCGGTGTGTGCACTGTTGTACTGGGAGTCAGGTGTTTCAGTTATGTACAACGGTGTTCACGATGTTGTATTGGGAGTAGGGTGTTCACAATATTGTACTGGAAGTCTAGTGTACAATTGGAAGTCTGTAAGGTGTTCACGATGCTGTATTGGGAGTAGGGTGTTCACAACATTGTACTGGAAGTCTGGTGTTCACAATTGTGCACTGAGAGTAAGGTGTTCACGATGTTGTATTGGGAGTAGGGTGTTCACAACATTGTACTGGAAGTCTGGTGTTCACAATTGTGCACTGGGAGTCAGGTGTTCACGATGTTGTATTGGGAGTAGGGTGTTCACAACATTGTACTGGAAGTCTGGTGTTCACAATTGTGCACTGTGAGTAAGGTGTTCACGATTCTGTATTGGGTGTCCAGTGTTCACAACGTCGGGAGTAAGATATCAACAATTTTGCATTAGGAGCAAGCGTCCACATTGTGTACTGGGTTCAGTTGTACTGGGAGTGAGGTGTCTACAGTAACGTATCTTATATTTAGGATTACACTTTCTTAGTAAAGTACAGATTCTAGTACTTTGTTTTATTATTTTCCTCTAGTACTTTCTAGTACTAGTACTCAACCCCCCAAAAGTACTAGAATCTGTACTTTACTAAGAAAGTGTAATCCTAAATATAACATACGTTACATTTGACCACTTTCTAAAATGGCATTGTGTATTTCATAGGTGTCTACAGTGTTGTATTGGGAGTCGGGAGTTCACAACGTTGTACTGGCAGTCGGGTGTCTACTATGTTGTACTGTGAATCCGGTGCCCACAAAGTTGCACTGGGAGCCAGGTGTTCACAATGTTGTATCTGGAGTCACATGTTCACCATTTTGTACTGGGAATCCGGTGTCCACAACGTTGTACTGGGAGCCAGGTGTTCGCTATGTTGTATTGGGAGTGACATGTTCACCATTTTGTACTGGGAATCCGGTGTCCACAACGTTGTACTGGGAGTCAGGTGTTCACAATGTTGTATTGGGAGTCACATGTTCACCATTTTGTACTGGGAATCCGGTGTCCACAACGTTGCACTTGGAGTCAGGTGTTCACAATGTTGTATTGGGAATCGCATGTTCACCATTTTGTACTGGGAGTCAGGTGTCCACAATGTTGTACTGGGAGTCAGGTGTCCACAACGTTGTACTGGGAGTCAGGTGTCCACCATTTTGCACTGAGAATCCGGTGTCCACAACGTTGCACTTGGAGTCAGGTGTTCACAATGTTGTATTGGGAGTCACATGTTCACCATTTTGTACTGGGAGTCAGGTGTCCACAATGTTGTACTGGGAGTCAGGTGTCCACAACGTTGTACTGGGAGTCAGGTGTCCACTATGTTGTATTGGGAGTCAGGTGTCCACTATGTTGTACTGGGAGTCAGGTGTCCACAACGTTGTACTGGGAGTCAGGTGTCCACAACGTTGTACTGGGAGTCAGGTGTCCACAACGTTGTACTGGGAGTCAGGTGTCCACAACGTTGTACTGGGAGTCAGGTGTCCACAATGTTGTACTGAGAGTTAGGTGTCCACAATGTTGTACTGGGAGTCAGGTGTCCACAACGTTGCACTTGAAGTTAGGTGTCCACTATGTTGTACTGGGAGTCAGGTGTCCACAACGTTGCACTTGGAGTTAGGTGTCCACTATGTTGTACTGGGAGTCAGGTGTCCACAACGTTGCACTGGGAGTCAGGTGTCCATAACGTTGCACTGGGAGTCAGGTGTCCACAACGTTGCACTGGGAGTCAGGTGTCCACAACGTTGTACTGAGAGTCAGGTGTCCACAACGTTGCACTGGGAGTTAGGTGTCCACTATGTTGCACTGGGAGTGAAATAGTGGTAGCAAAAACACTGATTGCATCAAGTCAGTACAACAAAGACTGTGCCACCTTGCACCACGCACGGGTTGTATCTTGGCCCCAAGGCATGTTTTTCGATTCTAGCTCATCCACTCGTTAGGAGACCTACTCCAGAACATAACGCTCCTTATAGTCGGCTCACACGCGGTCTGGATTATACAGACACTGGTGTATCACATGTGTATAGTATTACCTACAACGTCTCAACAAAATATGTAATAAAGTCTGGGTATTCGTTTATCATAACATTTTTTAGATTAACGATTGATTGCTTGTTTGTTGTTTAACGCCCCAACCAGCAATATTCCAGCTATATGGCGTCAGTATGTAAATAATCAGACAATCCAGTGACCAACATCATGAGCATCGATCTACGCAATTTGGATGTAAGGCATGTGTCTACCAAGTTAGCGAGTCTAACCCACCAAGCATGGGTTGCTGAAGACCCAATCTAACCCAGATCTCCACGGGTCTTTAGATTTTCGACGACACGCGTGAGATGTATGTATATATATATCTTGAGTAATTGACTCCATCTTTCAGGTAGAGATTTCAAAGAAAACATGTGTTGCAATGAAATTTACCTTGTGACATCAATCATAGCAAGATCTGTCATGTCGTCTTCCAATGTATCCTGTTTGGCCACTTAATGTGCTGTTTACACATGCAGTGTAGGTATCTAATACCGTCACCTGTGACCTGTCCTGTGTACAAATGTCACTATTCTAGAAATCACTCACATGACAGAAGATAAGTAATATATGAGAAAGTAAATATCAAAGGCCATATTTTTATATGTCATAATTTAACAAAGTAGTTTTCATTATATCCAAACATAGCTGAACAAAACATTGCGCAATATATACATGTATATATAAACACATCTATCACGAGTGTACGTGGAGTGCATGTTGTCAGCCGGGGCTTTTAGTGTTATATTTCCCTTGCTGGTTCTCCTCATCTGCCCATTGTCACATAGCATCCGTCACCCATCGTTCCCTCACCACGGTCGCGGTCTCAATAATGCCTGAGGTCCAGGTATTGCTTTCTTATACTTTCGTTTGATCAGTTGATAGTTTATCTTCTATTATTATCCATATGGTGAAACATAACCAGTGTCAAAAGAGATTACTCAACGAGTGTCTGTCAGATATCATTTATCATACAACGAGTTGTTTCAAAACGTATTTAACGAGCGAAAGCGAGTTAAATACGTTTTGAAACAACGAGTTGTAAGATAAAATGATATCTGATAGACATTACAATAATAGTTTCTTGTTACCGATACAATCGCACCATTTTATGGTCGAATAGATCAATTTTCATATTTTCTCATCGTAGCTGCGCATTATACACGACACACAGCGTTTATGAATCGAGTGACGTCACATGGCTTCTAATCACTACTCATGCTCAGGTGACCCTCCACAAAAGTTTCTGCCACATCTTCGTATCATCAAGGCAACAGTGATAATGCAAAGTAGATAATCACAGAAAATTAATTAAACACTCTAAAACGATGATGTTACCATGTACATGTGTACAATTTTAATTCTTGCAAGCAAAAAATATTTGAGCGTGTGACGTCATCGTCATCGTTTGGTGGTTGTCGTCATCGGAAGATTGTTTTGGATATCTCTGCACATTGGGGATCTGTACTTCTGATTAGTCGATGGAGAACATTGAACGTAAACTGGTACACAAGTACAAATCCCCAATGTGCAGAGATATCCAAACAATCTTCCGATGACGACAACCACCAAACGATAATGATGACGTTACACGTTCAAATATTTTATGCTTGCAAGAATTAAAATCATCCATATTTACATGGTAACATTATCGTTATAGAGTGTGTAATCAATTTTCTGTGATGTTATCTAGTTTGCATTGTCATTATCGCCTTGATGACGCGAAGATGTGGTAGAAACTTTTTTGTGGAGGGTCACTTTGGGAATGAGTAGTGATTAGGAAGCCAAGTGACGTCACTCATTCATAAACGTTGTGTTGTGTATTATTGCGCAACTACGATGAGAAAATATGAAAATTAAATATATTCGACCATAAAATGGTGCGATTTTATGGTGTGTAAGAAACAGATTACTGTACTCTGTCAGATACCATTTATCTTACAACTTGTTGTTTCAAAACGTAGTTAAAGCAAAAGCGAGTTAAATACGTTTTGAAACAACTCGTTGTAAGATAAATGGTATCTGACAGACCCTCGTTTAGTAATTTCTATTTATACACCGATATTCATCTTTCGTAAGATAAGTTTCGTCAAATGGAATAGGTTTTGTTGTTTTTTCCTGTTTGTTGTAAGGCGTTGAACTATGGTACTTATTCTCAATCCTTATGATTTATTGGTCCGGTGTTTAAATTCTCGTTTTGGCATTCATGCTGCATGTTGCTTTACTAAGTACTATTTAGGTAATTTGCGACAGTCTTTGAAGAATCCAGCCTGTAATATACAGACTAGTGATTACCGTTATGAACACCATCCAACGCCGTCTCTTTCGACACTCTACTTAAATTAATAGTCTTTGTATGCTTTCAGGTCTCACCTTAAAAGGCAGATGTTACACCGAAGAGCATCAGCGACAGCAACGACAGACAATGGTACGAACCTCCCAATGACCAATAGTAACCCACTGCCAGTGACCAGGGGTTGTGTCAACGATCGAATGACCAAATGATGAAGCAGGATTGACAATGGCGACAGTTTTTCACCATCAAGATCTCACTGGAATGTCGTCCCGTTTAATGTTCATTATTTTATATTTGGCATTTCTAAATGTCTCAAAACTATCATATGGCATGTCAACTGGGGATTTGCCGGCCAACGTGTCATCCCTGGGAACAAGGCAGAACCTTCCGACTGGGTGGGAGACCATGTGTAGGTCAGACACACATCTAAACCCTTCTTTGGTATCCATTACTTGCACCGTGACACTAGATGATGTATGGGATTTAAATCACTTCCGGAACTGGTCCGCCATGTTGGATAATGACACTCGTGCTTCTCTTGACGTTATTTGTGCACCTGGAGCCAGTGTCTGTCTCCCCTGGCCGTATCGAGCCAGACATCTGGACACTCTGAAGGTCAAGGACTGCATCAACAGGTGCTACTTCTCGGACTTCAACCGACCGGAAGTCCTCGAAATTCCCGACTCGCTGAGGGTGTTTGAAGGATACGGTGTTACTGAACAGTTTAACGTAATGGATATGTTGTCTGTTGACCTGAAGAGTCTCTCTCCTGCCATGGAGTGTGGACCGCTGCTGTTGGAGGTGTACATCTACAGGAACACTAAGACAGATTTAATTTTCCCAGAAGGTTTTATGCCGAAGGGGAATGACGAGATCACTGACGACTTCGTACAATCGACGCGGGACATCAACAGCTTTAAACACATATGCAACTATAGCAATATGAAGGTTTATGATTTGAGTCAAAGGACAGATACTACGGCAGCCATAATATATTCCACTATCATCAACTCTCTATTTCCTGAGCTAAAAACACTAAACTTCTCAAACACAGAGTTACAAGTTTATCCTTCAATGTTGGAAACATGGAGACTCCGTTTTGAGAAGCTGCAATCTTTGGATCTCTCTCATAACAACATCTCTCGTTTTGATTTGAGAGATATGAGTCTCCTCTCTCAAGATATTGGTCTCATAAACCTAAGGTACAATAACATTCGCACGATAGGCGTCCAAGAAATACATTCTTTTTCAAAAACGAAAGGCGCTGTAATTGATATAAGAAACAATCCTTTTAGATGTGACTGCGCGATGGCAAACTTTAGTAACTACCTCCAGAAGGACATGAACAAATTACTGGGTGTAGATAAGGATATGAATTACACCTATCTTCGGGACTTAAAATGTGTTACCCCAGAAAAGTTTCAAGGAAGAACGATCAGAGACCTTTCAAAAGAAATGCTGTGTTCTACGGATACGAGAGCCTATATCGCTCAGATCTCAGTCCTTAGCGTTGTCGTAATCATTTTGTTGATCACTATCATAGTCATGACAAGATACAGGAAAGAGATAACCATTCTTGCTTTCACGCGTTTCAATATTACTCTTCCATGTCAACCGATTGAGGACTCAACCAATAAGACATACGACGCTTTTGTCGCCTATAGTCACCATGACACAACGTGGGTTGTGAAAACTCTCCTCCCTCGACTGGAGAACGGTGCTCCCGACGGGAGTAACTTCCGGTTGTGTCTCCACCAGCGAGACTTTGCAGTTGGCGCCGCTATTGCTGACAACATTGTTCAGAGTGTTGAGGCAAGCAGACACACTATCCTGGTGTTAACCAGGAAGTTTCTGGAGAGCGAGTGGTGTTTGATGGAGTTCCGCACAGCCTTCCACCAGAGTCTCATAGAGAAGAAGAAACATCTGATTCTAGTGCTTCTCGAGGACATCCCTGTGGATGAGCTGGACGCGGACTTCCGGCGTTGTATGCAGACATGGACGTACATTCACATCGCTGACAAGCTGTTTTGGGATAGAATTGTTTATTCCTTGACAGACAAAAGTAGATCAAAAAAGGAAATCAGCCAATGCAAATACAGAACGCTCTGACAGAAACAATCCGCACACAACTCCGACAAGTGACTCTTGTAATAATGTCAGCATAAAGTTACCAGAACAATATGATCTCTGTCTGTATATTGAAAACGAATCGAAGACAGCTGACCAAATAACTGATTTTTGATTCGAAGAGTCAGGCTATGAATAAATGCAGACTGAGGACCTGTCATGATTTGGGAGCAATTTTCGACGGAAGTGTGTCAGTGTGAATTATAAAGTACTTGCTCGACGATATCACTAAACAATTAATTGTCAATGTGTTCATTAAACAAACTATTCATTCATGGCATTGTTATTTACATGATTAGCACAGGAGATGGGTTACTCTGCAGGCTCCATCCGGACACGGGTACTCACACGACAGGCTTTATTCAAAGCAAAACTCGTGGTTATGATACACTTGAAAGCATGATACACTTCCAGGTTATAACACACTTGAAGGCATGATACACTTCCAGGTTATAATAGACTTGAAGGTTATGATACACTTGAAGGCATGATACACTTCCAGTTAATAACGCTCTTCAAGGTTATGATACACTTGAAGGCATGGTACACTTCCAGGTAATAACACACTTGAAGGCATGATACATTTCCAGGTAATACCGCTCTTCAAGGTTATGATACACTTGAAGGCATGATACACTTACAGGTTATAATAGACTTGAAGGTTATGATACACTTGAAGGCATGATACACTTACAGGTTATGATACACTTGAAGGCAGGATACACTTACAGGTTATAATAGACTTGAAGGTTATGATACACTTGAAGGCATGATACACTTACAGGTTATGATACACTTGAAGGCAGGATACACTTACAGGTTATAACGCTCTTCAAGGTTATGATACACTTGAAGGCATGATACACTTACAGGTTATAACGTTCTTCAAGGTTATGATGCACTTGAAGGCATGAGACACTTCCAGGTTATAACGCTCTTCCAGGTTATAACACACTTGAAGGCAGGATACACTTCCAGGTTATAACGCTCTTCCCGGTTATAACACACTTGAAGGCATGATACACTTACAGGTTATAACGCTCTTCAAGGTTATGATACACTTGAAGGCATGATACACTTCCAGGTTATAACACACTTGAAGGCATGATACACTTCCAGGTTATAATATACTTGAAGGTTATGATACACTTGAAGGCATGATACACTTACAGGTTATGATACACTTGAAGGCATGATACACTTACAGGTTATAACGCTCTTCAAGGTTATGATACACTTGAAGGCATGATACACTTCCAGGTTACAACACACTTGAAGGCATGATACACTTCCAGGTTATAATAGACTTGAAGGTTATGATACACTTGAAGGCATGATACACTTCCAGGTTATAATAGACTTGAAGGTTATGATACACTTGAAGGCATGATACACTTCCAGGTTATAACGCTCTTCAAGGCTATGATACACTTGAAAGCATGGTACACTTCCAGGTTATAACACACTTGAAGGCATGATACACTTCCAGGTTATAACGCTCTTCAAGGTTATGATACACTTGAAGGCATGGTACACTTACAGGTTATAAATACACCTCAAGGTTATAATACAAATACACTTCTAGTTTATGATACACTTGAAGGTTATAACACACTTGAAGGTTATGATACACTTGAAGGTTATGATACACTTCAAGGTTATTATACACTTTAATGGTATGATACAGTTGATAGTTCTAATATGTTTAGACGAAACACGAAATGGATATGATACACTTCGTCGTTATTTTAATATAAACCTCTTAAAATAATGCCACGACAGCATTCAGGATTTTACCAGCGCTTTGCTCACTTATTGCCATTGTGGATCACGCCAATGAAATTTGAAACAATCTCTCCTGTCCCACACCAAATGGTATGTTACTCTGCATAGTTATGCCATGGGGCATGTCATAATGCATAAGTAGTTACACATGTCGTCACTTCCTGCTACTGGCGCATGTCACCATGTCCCTGAATTAACGCACCTTGCCATATGCCCTTACGGGCGCACTTCTCTATGTGTCCGTCCTGACGCATGTAACCAAGTGTCCAAGTACTGACGTATGTCACCATGTGTTGGAAACCTTTGGGCGGGAAGTGCTCTGATTGGTGTAAGCTAAGTCCACCTATCGTGTTTTGATCGTACTTCGATCGTATAGTCATCGTACATCTTCGTGTTGACTTCCTGTACTGATCGAGTAGCCATCGTGTTCACAACTCATATTAAACTTAACAGGAGCACGATAGCAGTACGATTGCAACACGACACATTTCTTGATCGTGTTGTGTTCGTGGTGGAGTCTTGTCCAGAAGATGAAGCCCGATCGACACAATCACTACACGAACACTACACGATACCTATACAATGACTACACGATCGACACAATCACTACACGGACACTACACGATACCTATACAATGACTACACGATCAACACAATCACTACACGGACACTACACGATACCTATACAATGACTACACGATCGACACAATCACTACACGAACGACACAACACTACACGATACCTATACAATGACTACACGATCGACACAATCACTACACGATCGACACAACACTACACGATACCTATACAATGACTACACGATCGACACAATCACTACACGGACACTACACGATACCTATACAATGACTACACGATCAACACAATCACTACGAGGACACTACACGATACCTATACAATGACTACACGATCAACACAATCACTACACGGACACTACACGATACCGATACTACACTATCACATCCCGACAGTTCTACTTGCTGACGACACCACAGTCGTCAGTACTACTGTACATTATCTCAATGTGGCTCTTAACAAGATCCACCAATATGCCTGCCGTTCGAGAATGACATACAACGCCAGTAAGAGCTGTGTCCTGTCCTTCACAAATTCTACAAAATATCTCAACAAACCCGTTTTCAGAGTCGGGGATGGCGGACTGCCAATCAAATCCAACACTGTGTATGCGGGATCCATCATGCATACAGAGAAAGCAAGAGAAAGGACAACACGTGCATGTGCCAAGGCGAGAAGAGCAATAAACTCACTCCGAGATGTAGGATTACGAGCTGGTGGATTAAACCCTGTGTCATCGTCCAATATCTGGCAAAGAGTTATCTTTCCTTCTGCATTCTACGCGCATGTGAGCTATGGAGCAATCTCAGCAGCACTGAGATGAATGAAATGGAAATTGTCCAGCGCTACTTTGCTAGAAGAGTCCAGAACCTCCACAAGAGATCTTCTACAGTTGCTACAGCTCAGGTACTAGGGCTATGGTCAATGCAAGGCAGAGTAGATAAATCAAAACTCCTGTTTTGGGGCCGACTCTGTCGCTCAGCCAGTACCAGTATTGTGAAGCCTATCATGTATTTGAGATTCGCGGAATATATGTCTACTGTGGTAAAAGTACAAGATCGATTGCCCATGACTTCTGAATGCAGCTCACAAATATGGATTTTCAGATATCATTGACACCTTCATGACAACAGGAGAATTTCCATGCAAAATGTATGGAATTCCATGGTACAGAAGGCTATATGCCACCACGAACACACTGAATGGAGAAATAAACCCAAGAGCGTCCAAATATGCAGAGATTTGGTGCCATTCATACGCGCCTCTCTCCTCATCGTCTCTGGAACCTGTGTTTGTGGTATAACATGGCCACCCTCCTGTCTATGCTCTGATAAAGTTGGGTATACTGCCCGTCACACTTGGATTGTGTCTTATATGCGAGACTGAAAGTGAGGACATTGTAAAAAACATCAACTCCTATACTGTGACAAGCTGGTAGAAAACAGGAACGCACTGAGCGAGCATCTGTTTGATAACGTGTCTCTTGACACGTATATGAGACTCGAAGATGCTGAAGACGAGGTTAAAAATCCTCACATACCTTGGTTCCATTACTCCGGTTGTGCAGGACATGACTCTCGATAGCTGGGCTAGGTTCATGAGCATTATTGCAAAACGCATCAGTGCATGGAACCTAGCCAGCATTCTGTATTTATAAGAATAGCATGCAATGCTTTGTACATATTGCCCAGTGATCATCTGTTGCCAAGAGCTATGATTTTTTATGTTCTGTTGAATTTTTCAAATATTATTGAACTTTCTATTTTGCCACAAATGTGTGTTATGCTCTAAAAATATATCTACACGGACACTACACGATACCTATACAATGACTACACGATCAACACAATCACTACACGGACACTACACGATACCTATACAATGACTACACGATCGACACAATCACTACACGGACACTACACGATACCTATACAATGACTACACGATCAACACAATCACTACACGGACACTACACGATGCCTATACAATGACTACACGATCAACACAATCACTACACGGACACTACACGATACCTATACAATGACTACACGATCAACACAATCACTACACGGACACTACACGATACCTATACAATGACTACACGATCAACACAATCACTACACGGACACTACACGATACCTATACAATGACTACACGATCAACACAATCACTACACGGACACTACACGATGCCTATACAATGACTACACGATCAACACAATCACTACGAGGACACTACACGATACCTATACAATGACTACACGATCAACACAATCACTACACGGACACTACACGATACCTATACAATGACTACACGATCAACACAATCACTACACGGACACTACACGATACCTATACAATGACTACACGATCAACACAATCACTACACGGACACTACACGATACCTATACAATGACTACACGATCAACACAATCACTACACGGACACTACACGATACCTATACAATGACTACACGATCAACACAATCACTACACGGACACTACACGATACCTATACAATGACTACACGATCGACACGATCGCACCACGATTTTTATAACTTTAAAACATGTTTTAAAATTGAATAATCGTGCTGAGCTGAGAACACGATCAACATAATCACTGTAGGATCATAACACACTCACAACACGATGCCTAAATCATGCATTCGTACAGCGATGGTTCTCTAGTGAGAATTGGGCTTTACTGACGCACATCACCATGTGTCCGTACTGATGCATGTCGTCATGTCCCAGCATTGACGGACTTCCACAGAGACGCATGTCATCATAGTTACGCATTAGTCAGACAACTATTTTATATGATGAAATAGACAGGCTGATAAACAAAACACATACCGATATCAACGTTATTTATTGCTATGAAGGGGCGAATTTTCATACACACACTGAAAATACGTTGTCTGTTGTCATTACATTGCAGACCTCGGGAGCCAGAAAATGGTCATTATTAAGTTTTGTCGTATCTATAGCTTTCTCAATAAAATTGTTTCAACTTCATCTGGCCTTACGATTGTAATATGTTTCGTGATCATGCTATTCTTCGTTATCAAGCAAGCGCGCTATTCTTCATGGGTGTGCTGTATTTCAAATTCATGCCCTACTTCGTGGGTATGCTATAGGTCGAGGTCATGCAATACTTTATGGTTATACTACACTTAGTGGTCATGACAGTGGTCATTGCACCCATTATCATGGTCATGTGCTAGTCCGTGGGTATGCTATAAGTCGAGGTCATGTAATACTTAATGGTTATACTACACTTAGTGGTCATGACAGTGGTCATTGCACCCATTATCATGGTCATGTGATAGTCCGTGGGTATCCTATAAGTCAAGGTCATGCAATACTTTATGGTTATGCTACACTAAGTGGTCATGACAGTGGTCATTGCACCCATTATCATGGTCATGTGCTAGTCCGTGGGTATGCTATAAGTCGAGGTCATGCAATACTTTATGGTTATACTACACTTAGTGGTCATGACAGTGGTCATTGCACCCATTATCATGGTCATGTGATAGTCCGTGGGTATGGTATAAGTCAAGGTCATGCAATACTTTATGGTTATACTACACTTAGTGGTCATGGCAGTGGTCATTGCACCCATTATCATGGTCATGTGATAGTCCGTGGGTATGGTATAAATCCTGGTCTGATTACACGGTTATGCTGGACTATTGCTTCATCTGTCATGGTCATGAGATACTTCATTGTCATGCTGTACTGCAAAGTCATGCTGCTCCGTGATGTAACTGGACCATTGCAATCAAAGCGGCGTGAAACCAAACTCACTCACTCATGCTATATTTCACGGTAACTGAATACCCGAAAGCTGCGATAAACGTCACTGTTATGATTTACTAGAATGCGTGCAATACTTCATGGCTCTATATTTCTGTACTTATTAATGACAAATTTTATGGATAACATATTCTTCTATTTCGTATGTGTGACGTTTACAGATTCTTGTATATTCTAAATTCTAAATATCACACTAACAATCTACATGTATGAAGTTTGTAACTCTGTAAATGTTAGATATTGCAATCAAATAATGACCTTGAAACATATAAGATTCCACAGTTCATAAAGGAGAATATAGTATTACAGCATGGTCTGCAAGTAGATTTACCAAACACCTAGTATTATCTTTAGCCACAAACAAAAAAACATTGACGGGGACGACAGCCGACGTCACAAACACGAAATGTTTCAGGTACATGATAAACTGTTGTGACAGAGGAAGCCTGTTTTGCATTATATATACAGAGGTGTTCATCCTGTTTAGCCAGCCTCTGCATGTCAGGCTGACCAAACCAACTCGTTTAAATGTTTACCCCGAAACCTGAAATCAAGATTCAGTACACTCCAGCTCTGCTGGTTTCACCAGGCTAGAGGATTTACATTCAATGAAACAGGTAAGAATTCTGGTGATTTCACTCAGTCGATGTTTTCATTGATTTTTGTAAATCTTTGCTAACAATAGAACTAGCTGGAAAAAATATTTACGTTTAAGTTTTTATTGGACTAAACTCGCGCCCATCTCTAGCTCAAGCAAGTTTTATCATAATCAGTCAAAATATGGATTGTTTATTATGATGCATATGGATATTGATGACACTAAATACACACATACAATGTCTCAGTTCCACACTGATTACTATAAGGTCTTGGCTGGTGATTCATGACATTAATTATAACGTCTATCTGTGCTCATGCTGCCGAGGAGCGTAAACGAAAACATGAGTGCATTACACTTCTCGTCAGAACTACAAATTCTTGGCAGCTATTATGAGGTGTATAGATACATATGAGAAAGATATCATGGTAAAACGTTTTACTCGTACTGTTACGCCCTTCTATATATTTTTACAGTCATAGAAGACGTCGAAATATCTGGATCCTTCAGACGCACCCTGGCAGCGTCGTCTTTGTGAGACCGATTTCTTATATCAATATTCCCTCTTCATCACATTGAATGAAGATTCTGATGACCTAAGAAGACCTGCACAGTGTTAAGGTTGTGTTGAAAGACGTCAGATTGCACCGAAAGAGAAGTGAAACTAACAAAGAATATCACAATGCTCTCACAAAGATATTTCAGATTTTGGACAATGGTTACAGTTACTTGGTCATTGATTGACGTTGTTGCTCTTACAAACTTCTTTCCCCTTGATATTCCTCCCTCTCCTGTGTTCAGCGGAAATACGAACATGCCAGATCAATGGAAGTCCATGTGCAAGACCAGAAGCGACAAGACTAACATATCATATATCTCCATATATTGCCACGTAAATGAAGAGGATGTATGGGACTTGAATCACTTCCGGAACTGGTCAGTTGTGTTAGATAATGACACCCTTGTGTCCCTCGATATAGTCTGTGAGGCTGGAGCACGGATCTGTCTACCCTGGCCGTACAGAGCTTTACACCTGCACACGCTGAAGGTCAACAGGTGCACGAACACATGCTACTACTCGGACTTCAGTCGACCGGAAGTGTTAGATATCCCAGACTCACTGAGGATATTTGAAGGTTATGATGTGACAGAGGAGAAGAAATTGCTAGATATCTTGTCCATTGACATAAAGAGTTTACCGGCTCCAATGGTGTGTGTTCCAATGCACCTGGACGTCTTTATCTATAGAAACAGGCGGCTTAAAATCCTATTTGACGAGGATAGAGAAGATTACCCAGATCTTTTGGACCTGAATATCACTGACACGATCACGAAGAACATACACGATATGGATGATCTTGACTACGTATGCAACTATGAAAATTTGAGAGTGTTTGATAAAAGTCAACGGATTCAAGCTTCGTCCACCCTTATCTATTCAAGTGTAGTCAACTCACGATTCCCTGAACTTCGAATACTAAACTTCTCAGATACAGAGTTGCAGGTATTCCCCCCAATTCTTTCAGTCTGGAGGCGTCGCTTCGACAAACTGCAGATTTTGGACCTTTCTCATAATAACATATCCCGGTTTGAATTAAGAGACGCAAGCCTTCTCTCCCAAGATGTTGGTATGGTAGATCTCAGGTTTAATGACATTCATACAATTGGTGAAAATGAAATTGAATCTTTTTCAAAAGTTGACGGAGTTGTGATTAACGTGAGAGACAATCCATTTCGGTGTGACTGCGCCATGGGAAACTTCAGCGTATATCTTCAGAGGTATGGTAGTCCAACTGAATGTGGTTTAAACAAGGACTATGCATACCTCTGGGACTTAAAATGTGTCACACCAAACAGGTTTCGAGGGAGAAAGATCGTCGAGTTCACACGAAAGATGTTATGTTCCAGTGATATGACAGCCTACATTTCTCAGATAGCAGCTATTTGTGTAATTGTGATCATGTTCTTGATCTTCGTGATACTTTGTGTTAGATATAGAAAGGAAATACAAATCCTGACTTTCACACGCTGCAACATCCTAGAGAAGAAGAAACATCTCCCGTGTCAGACATTTGATGAAGCACGTTGAGCGATAACATCTCTGACAAGCTGTTTTGGGATAGAAAGTACGACGCATTTGTGGCCTACAGTCATATGGATTCAGAGGGTGGGTCGTGCAAACTCTCCTCCCTCGACTGGAGAGCGGTGCAAATATCTGACTATGTATGGAATAACTTCCGGTTGTGTCTTCCACCAGCGAGACTTTGCAGTTGGCGCCGCCCTTGATCTAGAGCATCCGATACCATGACTGATCTCAATAGTTCAGACGATTTTGCTTTTGCGGCCAATGAAATATATCCCAACAGATAATCGTGATGGATGAGTCTCTGATGTTGATATTTTATATTATTGGAGTTTTCTTCCAAGAGCAAAGGGTAGTGACTTTGTCAGAAGGTGAAAACAGTATATTGTTTTACCACTATAGGTAGGTGCATAAAAATATATATGAGCGCCATGTCTAAATGTGTCATTGAGCATCATGTATTTTAAAAACGTGCTTAATACAACAGCAAAAAGTATTGGAATATGGTTCTTGAATCAACAAAGACCATGTAACCATGGTTACTCTTTGTTCTTAGCGGCCGACAAATTGAACTTTTGTTAACTGAAATGCACGGGATTTAGCTGAGCTTAAATATAAACAGCGCCATGAAATACCCTAACCTTGCAATATGTATATCCTATTTACCAATGTTCCTAGTATACGTTTGTGAGAATAAACATTGCTTGTATTTATTTTCGTTTTTTGATGGGAAATTCTTACGAGTCACGATGCACTCGAGTTAAAATGAGCTATGTGATAATCGCTGCGTTCGTGAAAGTTCTGCCCTAAACAAGAGAACTAAATACACTATACCTCTCAGTTCATTTTATCATATATGTCATTTTTAGTTGGAAATTTCTTTAGTTCGTTAGTTGCCGATATAATATTAAAACATGAGCGATACTGTCGCCTAGTCAGCACTCAATAAGAAGAATATTTCTTCATGTTTGTTTTATGCATTTTAAAGATAGATTTTGATTTCTAACCTTTAAAAAATGCAAAACATTCATTAGACACAACTGACGATGGTTATCTTAAGCATCTTATGTTTGCCAAATTTGTTAGAGGTCATGCGGTAGGCGATTTATTTTCAGCCTAGTGTTCATTCAACCAACCTAGTCTTAACTTAATCAATCCAGTCGTCATTGACAGACAAGCACGGATAGCTCACCCCAGGGAGACAGGCGCGTAGCAAGCCAGTTTTTTTCGTGTACGCCTGATAGGTTGCAAAGCTTTATAGTTAGATAGTATTGAGGGCTTGCCCAACCCTTTTGGCAACAATTATGTTTAAGCCTGGGCATTTTATTTTAATGGTGGGTACGCCCCTGGGAGTGTAGTTTTTGATGCGAGAATATTGGTTTCGAAGGCGTTACCAGACACACGGAGAAACTACATCCTGTTCAGAGAGAACTCTAGAGACACACGTCAGTCTGCACTATGACATAGGCGGATAGACATGCTATAATAACAATTAAGCAGGTGTCATGCTACATGTAGAAGCATGAGGAGCAGACTGTGCCACGGGAGACATTAACCGCGGCTGAGGTAACATGTCCATGAATTGGCCAACAGTGCGATGATACCCACTGACCAGATCTAAAGCGATACGTTGATAAAAGAGTTGGGTTTTTATTTTATTTTTTTATTTTCATGAAAAAATAAAGTCTTCCATCATAACATTCGTTACATAATGACACATACAAATACATGAATATAATCATCCAACATATCAGGCTGTGACACAGTTAAACCTCCGATATATAATGGTGTATAGGGTGTTGTGTGTAGTGCCACATCCAACATATCAGGCTGTGACACAGTTAAACCTCCGATATATAATGGTGTATAGGGTGACACAGTTAAACCTCCGATATTGTATAGGGTGTGTAGTGTGCCACATCCAACATATCAGGCTGTGACACAGTTAAACCTCCGATATATAATGGTGTATAGGGTGTTGTGTGTAGTGCCACATCCAACATATCAGGCTGTGACACAGTTAAACCTCCGATATATAATGGTGTATAGGGTGTTGTGTGTAGTGCCACATCCAACATATCAGGCTGTGACACAGTTAAACCTCCGATATATAATGGTGTATAGGGTGTTGTGTGTAGTGCCACATCCAACATATCAGGCTGTGACACAGTTAAACCTCCGATATATAATGGTGTATAGGGTGTTGTGTGTAGTGCCACATCCAACATATCAGGCTGTGACACAGTTAAACCTCCGATATATAATGGTGTATAGGGTGTTGTGTGTAGTGGTCAGGCTGTGACACAGTTAAACACCTCCGATATATAATGGTGTATAGGGTGTTGTGTGTAGTGCCACATCCAACATATCAGGCTGTGACACAGTTAAACCTCGATATATAATGGTGTATAGAAGGTGTTATAATGGATATATAATGGTGTATAGGTTAAACCTCCGTATATGTGTAGTGCCACATCCAACATATCAGGCTGTGACACAGTTAAACCTCCGATATATAATGGTGTATAGGGTGTTGTGTGTAGTGCCACATCCAACATATCAGGCTGTGACACAGTTAAACCTCCGATATATAATGGTGTATAGGGTGTTGTGTGTAGTGCCACATCCAACATATCAGGCTGTGACACAGTTAAACCTCCGATATATAATGGTGTATAGGGTGTTGTGTGTAGTGCCACATCCAACATATCAGGCTGTGACACAGTTAAACCTCCGATATATAATGGTGTATAGGGTGTTGTGTGTAGTGCCACATCCAACATATCAGGCTGTGACACAGTTAAACCTCCGATATATAATGGTGTATAGGGTGTTGTGTGTAGTGCCACATCCAACATATCAGGCTGTGACACAGTTAAACCTCCGATATATAATGGTGTATAGGGTGTTGTGTGTAGTGCCACATCCAACATATCAGGCTGTGACACAGTTAAACCTCCGATATATAATGGTGTATAGGGTGTTGTGTGTAGTGCCACATCCAACATATCAGGCTGTGACACAGTTAAACCTCCGATATATATGGTGTATAGGGTGTTGTGTGGTGTATAGGGTGACACAGTTAAACCTCCGATATATAATGTGTAGTGCCACATCCAACATATCAGGCTGTGACACAGTTAAACCTCCGATATATAATGGTGTATAGGGTGTTGTGTAGTGCCACATCCAACATATCAGGCTGTGACACAGTTAAACCTCCGATATATAATGGTGTATAGGGTGACACAGTTTGTGTGTATAGTGCCACATCCAACATATCATGTTTTATCAACGTGCGCAGCATGCTGTATTCAGTGTTGTATATGGCCTCATATCAGACATAGCATGTTGTATATGGGTTACAACCAACATATGTTGTATATTGCGCAACTTCCAAAATAAGTTGTATATAATGTCATATCTGATATATCATAAGTATAAAGTATTACATCCCATATGTCATGCTGTAAATAGCATCATATATGAACATATCATATTGTTTATAGCACCACATCTGACATATCAAGCTGTATATTGTGTCACATCCAACATATCATGTTGTATATTGCATACACATTCAACATATTTTGTTGTATACGGCGCCACATCTGACATACCATGTTGTATAATGCACCACATCTGACATATCATACTGTATATAGTGCAACACCCGACATAGCATATTGTATATAGTGTCACGGCCAATCTATCGTGTTGTACATAGTGTGTTATCTGATATACATTGTAAATATGTCCTATCTAACATATGTTGTATATAGTGCCACAATTATTCTGACATGTCATGCTGTGTCTTGTGTCACATCCAATGTGTTGTGTTATATATTGCGCAACATCCGACTTATTGTGTTGTATATTGTGTCATATATCCAACCTATAATATGTGTTCCCAAAGTTACACCAGTGCCATTAACTAACTAGTCAATATATCACTAAAACAAAGATAATTTTTCAAAAGGGGAAACAGATCAAGATTTTACAAAAGACGCGGTTGCTGCATACACATGTCAGGTTTGAATACTGGGAATACTGGATGCCATTTATTAGCAAATATCTTCATTTTATTCTTCCTTTTGGCAATGAAGCTTTCAACAGAAAAAATATCTTTTAAAGTCTTTATAAAGTTATCGCATTTTGGAATGTTGTTTTTCAAAGAAGAGACATAGATCTGTCTTTTTGCTGAAATGATTATATGATTAAGTAATGGGTTTTTACTTAAGGAGCCAAAATACACCAAATATTTTGTCAAATTGACTTTTTGCATCAAATAAGTGTTAACCCAAATTTGAAGATCCTTCCAAAACTTCTTAGTTTCACTACATTCCCAGTAAACATGGCACAAGTTTTCATCTTCATCTTAACAAAAGCTGCATGAGGCGCTCTGGATAAAGAAGACAGTGAGTTGATACACACATACCAGGTTTACTACACCTGAAGATGCTTCTGCAGACAACGTTATGTCAGCTGCAGAAGCAACATCAAACATTGCCTTGGAGTGAGTGAGTGAGTGAATGAGTTTGGTTTCACGCCGCTTTTAGCAATATTCCAGCAATATCACTTCGGAGGGACACCAGAAATAGGCTTCACAGAGTGTGCCCATGTGGGGAATCGAACCCGAGTATTCGGCGTGACGAGTGAACGCTTTAACCACTAGGCTATAGCTACCCAACTGTCCCCGTTGCCTTGGCAGCAGACTTAGTAGTTGTAGATCTTGCAATAACAACACAGCACGCAGCTTCGCACAACTGAAGCAGGAGATGTTGTTTCCTTCACATCCACATACAGTCATGTACAGTAGGAACATAGCTGAGGTAATTACACCATAGATAAAAAGCTAAATGCTGTTTCACGTACGACAGACATGTTTTCATGTCAGTGTCAGTAATTTGAAAAAGCTGACAGTCGATGTTACATTCGATCATATTTCTCAAGTTTTATCTCTTAAGCCTAAAATGAGATCCACGATTACAAAATATACCGACAGTACCACAGTCAAGTGTTCTCAGACCAAAGCGTGTTCTACTGAGGCTGAAATCGTTGCATTGCTTTCAAATGACTTTGAAGCCAAACAGAAGATATTTTTGTCGAAATGTTCATGTTTAGTGAACAAATACTTGATGACAATCCTCTTAGTGAAAACCTTTAAAATCAACCCCAACTCAGTGTTGCATATGTCCTCCATGGACTTGAATTCCACTTTGGCCAATCCTAGGTCCGTGTTCACGTAAATAAACTGCCGGAAAAAAACGAAAGTATACAGTTGAAAATGGGATTTGGACAAAATTATAATAAAAATAACAAAAGTTACTTGTCTGAAGCAATTTGCCTGATTTGAGAAATCCATTGATATGATGCATGCAATGCCGCCCTATGAAGTAACCCTAGTATACCTGTGTCAAATACATCACTACTAACTAACCATTTAACGCTTGTTTGAGTTTCCGCGACCATCAAGCAATCATGGGTGTGTACTTTCTTTTGCAAATCAAGTATGCAGATGTGTGAGAAGAAACGCAATGACTGTGTATGGCTTCCCCTTTCAGTTTCACGTTCGTGTGTGCAGGGGCGGGTACAGCCGTTTGAGAGAGAGAGAGAGAGAGAGAGAGAGAGTGTGTGTGTGTGTGTGTGCGCGCGCGTGTGCGTGCGCGCGCACACACTGGGGGGTTTGCACAGTTCATTTTCACCCGTTTCCACCAAAGTTTCATTGGACAAAGGGGGGGGGGGATGCGCATCCCTGCACACACACACACACACCCTCTGGATCCGCCTATGTGTGTACCACATGAAACAGGGCAAATTGTATGGGTACATGTTTTACAAAGTATTTCCTGTAGTGAAGAGGCAGTGACTTGTTGACAAGGTACGAAGTCATTTCAATGTCTCCACGAAAATCATTACCCATTAAGACGTGCAATCGCATAAGCACGACACACATGGCAGGGGTTCTTCTGTGCGATGTCAGGCAACAAACATGTTTTACTGCAGGTTGTATAACTGGTGGTGCTACTGTTAGGGCAAGACCTATTTTTAGCATTTTCAACCAAACCTTGTGTCATGACTGCCTTTCAGTGACCGAGTGATAATTGTCACTGCTATTTCGCCCATTACGCATGTTGGAATTTGTTTCGTTTGAAAATTGAAACTGGTTGTGGGGTTTACATTTGTCTGCTTTCAAAACCAAAAGGACATATTAACCAAGGTATAAGTAAGACTTTTAATAGTTTATGTTGTTACAAACCTCAGTCATGCTTTGAAACATTCTCATCCCCTACAACAATTTGGATACAAGCGGCAGATTCTACCACTAATTTTAAACTAGAGACTGTATATGACTGTATATTAAAAAAATCTATTAATTCTTAAACATTGTTTGTATGACACACAGGGTGTAAGTGCATTACCTGCATCTGTAGAAAACACGTCAGATGAAAGAGAACTGTTTTCGTAAACATCGTGAACATGAAACATGAACATTAATATTAACTTCTTATTCCGCAGCTTACACAGGTCGGTCGTATAGAACTGACAGGTAGTACATATTGTACAGAGATGTTGACGGCAGTGACCCGGATGACAGATGACCTGAGCAGGATGTAGGCAGCTATATTTACCAGCTCAGGAGACAGAGACAATTTACCGTGACGACAATGATATATTTCATACATATAAACGTAGTTCCTTGTTTAATTAAATAATTCAAAAGAACCACTAATGAATTATTATTTTTTGAAATTAGAATGACAACCAAGCATTACTTTTATATTGTGTTGGTCCTGCATAAACATAAGTATCAGTGATGTGTAAATATAAGTTTACTTAATGTTTTCTGTCCTATTTAAAAATGTTTATGCTTCACAATGAGACTTTTTCTGCAAGTCATTCTCTATGACACGTTCCGTGCTGATGTATGTAAACCTTTAAGTGTGTTCATTTTGCGATGTCATGGCCACACGGGAGTAGACATGCGAGATCTCACTTCCAGCCACACAACATCCGGGTTCGGAATATACGTGGCAATAGGGAGGAGGTGTACTGCTGGAAGAGGAGATGTGGCTGAGATGGTGAATACTGGCCTTTTGACAAAAGGGAATAAAATGATAACTTATGATTACTGTAAATCATACATTTTTCGTATCAAACAAACACATACAGATTCACAAGCAAACGCACGGACACCCACAAACATATGCACACACACACACCCATACACACACACACATATATACTGTAATAAAACACATACAGATACACTCACTGACACACACACACACACACACACTCATTCATGAATACAGTCAAAGATACACTTACACAGATATGACTCACTCACACACTTCGCAACATACATCCTTATACTTGAGTGAGAATTATTCATGATGCTAACGGTTTAAAAAGTATTATCCATTAATATCATTTAACCTAATTAGGTAATGATTGTAACCACATATGGATAAAACATTCCTCTCCAAGAAAACATTTCAGTAGGCAGAAGTGTCATATATATATATGTATTTTCTTATTCCCAGTGTGCAGCCACATTTCACCTGTGCCCCTTATGGTGTCATGGAATTATGTACAGGTACAATGCAGCGACATGAGAGTTGTTGAACGTCATTCATGTTTGCATTAAGCAACACACGACCAATTACAAAGTCACGATTAAGTAACACTTTATTTCCTATAAAATGACTTGAGGTGATTTTGGTCCATGTAGCTCGGCTGAAATGTTGTTTACTGCAACAAAAGACAACATTAAAAGACTTCTGAAACACGAGAGTTCGAGCTGCGCAGTGGACACAAAATCATGCCAGCAGACATCATCCTTAAGTAGAGGTCATCTTCATCCTGCACTTCAATTCACATGTGGTCAAATTGATTGAAGTTATAACAGATGATTACATCACAGAACAGGTATATATGAGGACAATGTGGAGCTATTTCAGTCAGTGTTTGAGAGATAACTTATACAGAACTTCTGTAGAATCACTGAACATGACCCAGTACAGATTTGTGTAGTTTTATGCTATACTGGACAAAATAAGTTAGGGATATTGGTATTTTTATGATTGATATTTTATCAGTGTGTCAATGAATAAATAGATCATTATTCATAATTTCAAAAATTACATATATCCCTAACTATTTTTGTCCAGTATACATTGCTATTTGTGCTTTTGAATTCATGAATATACCCGTTTTCATACATGAAGAAATATGGTGGCACCATTACATTTGAACTAAACTAGGCAGTGGGATAGAGGTTAAAATCGCTCGCTCGTCACACCAAAAGACACGACACGGATGTTTGTGTTTTTAAAGTTTAAACTTGTGTTGTTTTCCTCCCTCGGTTTCAGTATCTGGATACCTGTGAAGATCCGGGTTAGAATTGATCTTCAGTAAACCATACATGTCGTAAGAGGCGACTAACGGGATCGGCTGGTCAGGCTCGCTGACTTGGTTGACATATGGCATCGTATCCCAATTACATACATCGATGCTCATGCTGATGATAACTGGATTGTCTGGTCCAGACTCGATTATTTACAGACCGCCGCCATATAAATGGAATACTGCTGAGTGCACTGTTGAAAAACAAACAATCAACCATCAGTCTCCTGAGTTGATATTGTTTATTCCAACTGATTATTTCATCTTTTTACAGAAGTGTATATATGAAGGGAAAGGCTTTAGAAATATTTCGCATATTTCCGCAAAAAGACTGTATAAAGTCGTCCCAAGCACTATGAATTCCTATAAGCACTCGAGATAAATGGTTATTTATTAACATTTCTCCTGAGTAGATTTTAAGGATTCGTCTTTATGTCGTCCATCACTGATATTTTTCTTGGAATCGTCTGACCGGCCACACAGGTTTTGGCAGTTTCGAAAAAGGAGGAATTTGATATTATCTCTGCAAAGGACACTTAAGAGTAAGACGACAAGAATGACAACAACAACAGCTAAAACGGCGACGTAGACTTGGTGTGCTGACGCATTCACGACGTCATTGTAGCAAAGCGCTTTCTTTGACAGTTGGCTAATGAGCTTTCCTCTTTTGCTGACTGGAGCAACGCATGTGAGATCCCAAAGATATTCATAGTCAAGACTCAGACCTGCGTCCTTTGGTGTCGGATGTCTTCTCAGGAAGTCACCGAAGTCAGCCATGGCGCAGTCGCACTTCAGGGGATTATGCCCTCACGTCCACAACTTGTGCAACGGGTGACAGAAACGAAGCGATCTCGGCCTCTGCTATTGTTTCAATGGAGTTGTAGGTCAGGTTTATAACTTTGATTGGTGCGTCATAACTTTGAGGTCCTCCCCTGAGGTCAAAACGGGACATGTTGTTGTGGGACAGATCCAGAACTTGTAGTTTTTCAAGTTTAAGTCCTTTCCATGTTAATAAAATTGAAGGGAATGTCTGGATCTCCGTGGACGAGAAGTTCAGCATTGTAAGCTTCGGGTAGCGGGAGTTTATAAACGTGGCGTATATACTAGCAGACGACGAGTCCTGTCTCTGACTTACGTCGTAGACCTTCATATTTTCATAGTTACATACGTGATTAAGTTTGTTCACATCACGCGCAGTTTGTACGAAGTCGTCAGTGATCTCGTCATTCCCCTTCGGCATAAAACCTTCTGGGAAAATTAAATCTGTCTTAGTGTTCCTGTAGATGAACACCTCCAAGAACAGCGGCCCACACTCCAAGGTAGGAGAGAGACTCTTCAGGTCAACAGACAACATATCCATTACGTTAAACTGTTCAGTAACACCGTATCCTTCAAACACCCTCAGCGAGTCGGGAATTTCGAGGACTTCCGGTCGGTTGAAGTCCGAGAAGTAGCACCTGTTAATGCAATCCTTGACCTTCAGAGTGTCCAGATGTCTGGCTCGGTACGGCCATGGGAGACAGACACTGGCTCCAGGTTCACAAATAACTTCAAGAGACACACGTGTGCCATTATCCAATATGGCGGACCAATTCCGGAAGTGATTTAAATCCCATGTATCATCAACACCCACGTGACAGGAAATGACTACATTTGAATCATTACTGGCGGACTGACACATGTTTGACCACCCTAAAGGGCTACTGCTGTTGGAATATGCATTAGTTGTTTGTGTCACTAAAGCAACGATTAGCAACTGGAAGGATTGGGTCGACATCGCTGACAATGTATTCTTTCACGTGTCGATTGCTCCGATCTTAGTCGCTAACACCTCATTTGATATCTGAAAATATGAAATAAACATGACAGTATACCAATGTCAATCAAATAACTGCATGTCTTCTTCAGCAGTAGTTGAGGAAATGTATTCGCTTATGTAGAAAGATTTCAATTAATACTAACCAAACGAAGAAAAACATTACCCCTTCAGACTTAAAATTACAGTTACAGTTTTGTAGAAAGAACGCGATTTTGGCACCAGACAGCTCACTATAAGTCATCTAAAATTAGGCATACATATATAAAACGTTGGGAAACAAAGAACATCCACTTTTATGAGGCCGCGTCAATGCTTATGATGCCTGTCACTGGGTTGTCAGATATGATGCTTCACAGACAGACATTTTTATACAATTCCTCAGTGCGACGTTTCCACTACGTTTGTATAATTGTTCATGACACAAACACGAACCATGCTATAACACTAGAGTTATAAATTGGATCAGTAAAAGAGAAAAACTTGCTTATGAAAATATATCTTCAGGTAATGTGTTGAAACGGCTGGTTTGTGCACATAGATAGTGCTAAACATAATGTACCATTGCACAAATGAAATGCATAAAGTCAGTATTTTGAAGTCAGTGAAAATTTTCTTAGATAAAATGGTGAATGAAACTTGATGAATACGTTTGGAAAGAGCTACGATATATACCTGCAAAACGCAGAGGTTGTTCGAGATTTATACAGTATTGTGGTGTCGATGATAAAGTGAAATTCTTCTCACCCATTGCAGCGACGTTGCAGCTCATCAGACGAGGTGCTGTTTAGTTATCAAGTACTCACAGTAACATGTATCTGTGATTTGCCGACTTAACGAATAGAGATATTTTCATCGTCTGCCTGAACGGTCTTGCAGGATGAACAACGCGTTCTTCTTGGCTAATCTGCACATTACACCATACACACCATTTTTGCACACCTTATTGAGAAAGGTTATTGGCGTTGCAAAACAAACACAATGGTGTACACGACCACCCACACCTCCCTCCACGGATGTCCACGCCCCACTGGGTGTTCACGTAATCTGTTGTAAAGCGTTTCAACATCCCAGGCTACGGTCCAAAGTCCAAATATATTTCAATGAACATAGGACTGGTAGTTAAAATATTTATATTTGGATTCGTCTGACAATGGCTAATAGATGTAGACATGGATTTAGTTTTTAAGCAGCACCTCCTCTTGAAACACATGCTTAGTACATAAATACTACACTATATGTTATATGATGTTCTGTATTTGATATCGTTTAGATATATTATCAATCCATTGCGTAAGTCTCCTCGATGAATTTTCACATTGTTTTGTCACTGAACAACACGCTCCATGCTGTTGCTACCGAGATCATAATATATAGATCTTATCTATTTTATGATTTGTGTTGTAATACGAGTGTGAAAGGAAACGATTATTCATACAATAATATCATGAGAAAATATACCAATCACGAATTAAACGCATATGATTTGCACACCACCATATGATTTTAGAGCCTCACGTTAGTGACTTACATTCATATCGTTCTTTCAACACATTTTCGCTTCATGGATGACGTCGTCTTTATTATATAGGATGCGGCGTTTCAGTATAGATTCTTATACCGTTGTCAAGCGAGACTGAGGTGCTGTAGCAGACTTATATATACATCAACATGGATTAAGCAGTTCAAATCCGCGGACACAAGCCCTCCATCAACAGAGATGAAGGATATCTCATCCCATCTGCATACAATGAACTGATAGCAACAACTTAGCGGAGCATTCCAGCCATGTATATTTTCTACCTCTTGGACATTTGACTTCCTCCTGTTGTCACTGCTTTATTACCACTATCCTATAGTTGTTGCTGTTAATCCCTTTGATGCACGCCTACATGTTGTTTTACTTAATCCCTGTAAAGTCTGATCTGTGCAGACACCTGCACCTGCTCCTTTTGATAATTATGATTACCCCCTCTCTAATAGAGTTTTGTCATTTGCAATGAATTAAAGTAACCCTTATCGTAGATCACCCAGCCTCCCATTCATGCATATAATTCTTTTTTTTTCGTATCTTAGTTATTTCAGTCACGTGAATTTTTTTGTGACAACAAATATTTGCTTGGACACTGAGCCGTTGCCTACCTTTTCCTGTACCACATAAAATCTGCATGGTATGCCGGTTGATATTGTTATTTGAAATCGGCAGACAATGCACACCTGTTGTTGCTGCAGGACAATGAATATTTCCGATACGACATTGTAAGTACTTGGGGGTGCAGACATATGACTTAAATATGTTTGCGCATGCTGCTTAATATCATATATGTGTAATACCACAATATACATGGATAAACTATCAAACTATGCATCGTTTAGAAAAAAAAGTATTTTGATTACATGAAAGAGAATATTTATAAAGTTATAACTTGTGAAAATTAAATGTGCGGGCCCAATGTATGTTTCATTACAAAATTCTCTGTTAATGTCTTCCTACAATCAACAAAATATCATCATCTGGTGTTTAACTGAGCCGACAAAACGTACTGGATGAAACTCAAAAATGTAGCAGGGGCTATATACAATCAGAGAGTGGGTGCAAATCTTGATATTTTTAAAGAATATATGAATGTCTGATTCACTCGTACCTGTCACGAGCGCCCTTCCTCAAGGAGCAGTCGTCAGCACTGATTTATGACACAAACACGAACCATGCTATAACACTAGAGTTATAAAATGCTTTTATAATAATATCACCACAAGGTATTAATATCTTATCGTACGATAATTACACTATTGTCAGTTTCATCAGCGATGATTCCTCAGTCCGAACTCAGTTAATCCGCGAAATCCACAGTCTGGGAGGTTATTACTGGTTACATCTTTTCAGTTGGCTTTATCCGTGTTCAGGATGTGGGAATTTCGGGATCAGGAGTAATTCATTGATGACTTTATCGCTCGGGATGTCTTTGCATTACAGTACAGGTATATCTTAACACACACACTGCAGTGTGTAACATATATTCCGACTTGTATGACAGCAACATATGACAAATTATTAAGTATTCAAACTTTATCCGATTGCAATATCATGTAGCCGTGCAGAGACATGGATCCAACGAATCTGACCCTTTCTGTTCACCGATTTTGGCTCCTGACCAGCATAAATAGCAAAACAACAAATAAGCCCTGAATATTTGAATTGTTATACAATGTCTATGCCATGAACAAACGCGACCCTCATTGACAAGTCCGAACCGGCAAATACTTTTACATAACGGACGTAATTAACGTCACTGTTAGTGTTGTTGCCTTATAGTCTAGATTTTAAAGTGAAAGCAGACTAACCTTATTTACCAAGGAGCAAGCCTCCTCAGAATGTTTGTACAACTTGTCTAATCTTGTCTGTAACGGCTACTGCGATGCCTGTGTCTGACCAACACAACAGACCAGTACAACCTGACCTTGTCTGTAACGGCTACTCTGTTGCCAGTGTTCTGACCAACACAACAGACCAGTACAACCTGACTCTGTTGTCTGTTACGGCTACTCTGTTGCGTGTTCTGACCAACACAACAGACCAGTACAACCTGACCTGACCTCGTCTGTGTCTGTAACGGCTACTGACCAACACAACAGACCAGTACAACCTGTGTCTGACTGACCAACACAACAGTCCAGTACAACCTGACCTTGTCTGTAACGGCTACTGTGTCGCCTGTGTCTGACCAACACAACAGTCCAGTACAACCTGACCTTGTCTGTGACGGCTACTGTGTTGCCTGTGTCTGACCAACACAACAGAGTACACCCTGACCTTGTCTGTAACGGCTACTGTGTCGCCTGTGTGACCAACACCAGTAATCTTGTCTGTAACGGCTACTGTGTCGCGGCTACTGTGTTGGTTGTGTCTGTCTAACACAACAGACCAGTACAACCTGACCTTGTCTGTGTCTGACCAACACAACAGACCAGTACAACCTCACCTTGTCTGTAACGGCTACTGTGTTGCCTGTGTCTGCAAACACAACAGACCAGTACAACCTGACCTTGTCTGTAACGGCTACCTTGTCTGTGCAAACACAACAGACCAGTACAACCTGACCTTGTCTGTAACGGCTACTGTGTCGCCTGTGTCTCACCAACACAACAGACCAGTACAACCTGACGTTGTCTGACCAACACAACAGACCAGTACAACCTGACGTTGTCTGTAACGGCTACTATGTTGCCTGTGTGATTTAAACAGTATTTTATTTCCAATAATGTTTACATTTTTCAGAGTACACAACATAAGAAAATGGAAATAGGATCAGCAAACAGGCCATATGGCCTATGTCAATGCTTCTCCGCATATAATTCATTATTACCGTGACTTAATTGTATGGAGCAGACAATAGAACATTAATGAATGAATCAAAACAAAATAAAAATAAAGAAAAGAAAATAAAGAACAAGATACCAAGTGCATTTTATGTTTATAGGTTGTTACTTGAATTCCGTAAAGCGGTTAGTTTCAGTTATATAATTCTGTACGGATTTTATTAGGTTTTCATTGTCTAGAGGAGATAAGTCGTCATTGCCGTGAAGTATGGTATATATGCTGAGGTGGTTAAGGACAAAGTATTTGTCGGGTCTAAACTGGGCATAGCGGGGACATGACAGAAAAAAATGGATAGCATCTTCTCTGTTATGGCCACATGGACAAGTGGGATCATCAATCAGGAATCTGTCAAATAGGTGTGCTTTTAAATCACTACAACCTAGCCTAATTCTGGATCAGGATGTTGCCTGTGTCTGACCAACACAACTTGACACACAGAAGGAAGCGAGCTACAAAGACATAATTTATATCATTGGAAAGATCTCGAGGAGATGAACCCAAAAAGTTCGTGTGCCAGTGCGCGCACGTGTTCATAAGCTCACAAATGGGCTCTGAAAATGCATTTCTGCAGAAATTTCTGGCAGATTTTTTTTTTACCGCAGAAATTTCTGGCAGATTTTTTTTTAACGCAGAAATTTCTGGCAGA